AAAATTAAAATTCACTAAGCTTACATTATGCATTTTACCATATGTATGTAATACACCAACTTTAAAAAAAGAAATTTAAATTGTCATATTCAATCTATGTCTACTATTGTATACCTCTTGGTCACTAAAGTATTAAAATTTCAACTATATGCACTCAAGAGATATACTGGTTTTTTTTTTTTTTTAGACCGATGAAACAAAGAGATGTTTTCTAACCAGACAGGCTGACCACTTTTTATTGTTTAACCATATTAAAGGGTCTGATCCTCAGCCTTGTAGCTCTAAACACAGGGCTATGTATACATTGAATAGGTTTTTCTTTTTCCTATTTTTTAAAAAGCTGATTTATTTTTTAAAAATTTTTAATTGAAACGTAATTGATTGTACATATCTGTGGGGTACAGCACTGAATATCAATACTTGTGTGCAAAACATGATCCTCAAATCAGGAAAAATTACTATATTTATCATTACACAATGTAATCATTTTTTGTGGCCCTTTACCAATTTCTCACTAACCACCTGCCCCTTCCCACCTCTGGTGGCCTCAGTTCTGTTCTTTTCTTTTGAAATTTATTGAATAGGTTTAAAAGACTGCCACAGGCCAACATAACCCACAAGAGGCAGAAGTACATAAACTGGATTGCAGTACATTAATCTGTTATGAAAAATGCACTGCCAAATTGACCTAAATACTCTCACTGGCTGAGGAACAGATTCTCTGAAGTGTCAAATTAAGTGAGAAGGTTGGTAGGTAAGGAATCAGAACAAAGAAAATGGTCTATATTGTTTTAATGGCTTTGGCATCCAGCTATAATAGTGGCAATAGTGTTATACATGCCAAGGAGAATTCCTGTCTGCTGGTTAGGGTGAACTTTCCTAGCCGTTGTTAGAATACCACTAAATTCTAGTTTGGGGTCTCCCTTTCATAGGTGCCATGCAGATCATTCCCCTCCTGTTAACATTTTTTCCTCAGTTACATATCACATTTTAGTCACACCTTCCTATAATCACATTTTGGTCACCTTCAACCACACACATGTTAAGAAATCACTTCAATTTTAGTATTTCTACATTTTTAAAGTAAGCATAATAATACCATGTTTAAGGAGTACTAAAGAACCAAATAAGTATTTTCTTAATATTTTAATCTATCATATTCTCTCTTCGGTCACCTTCAACCACACACATGTTAAGAAATCACTTCAATTTTAGTATTTCTACATTTTTAAAGTAAGCATAATAATACCATGTTCAAGGAGTACTAAAGAACCAAATAAGTATTTTCTTAATATTTTAATCTATCATATTCTCTCTTATACACTCTTCAAATGAAGATCAAAAGCAGTGTTAATACCTTAAATCGGCAAAAGGGATTTTCTTGTGTGAATTCCACTGGTGGAATGTTATTGTTGAAATATCCTTTTCCTGTTCCCCAAAAGGCCTGAAGTTGATTCCACTTTGCCAATATAGCATCTCTCTCATCTCCCAATAATGTTGGAGCAGAAAGAGCACTTGCAGTATTTATCAGTTGGTTGGACTGGGTAGGAGCTTGTGTAGGCTGACTGAAGAGACCACCTAATGCTAAAAATGTACCCAAAATTAGTTTTTAAAAAAACCAAAATTTAATCAAGTCATCCTAGGTGTGGTAGGCAGAATAATGCCTCCCCCCAAGATGTCCATATCCTAATCCACAGAAAATGTAAGTATGTTATTTTACACGGCAAAGGGACTTTGCAAATGTGACCAAATTAAGCATGCCGAGATGGAGAGATTATCCTGGATTATCAGAGTGGGCTCAATGTTATCATAAAGGTCCTTAAAAGTAGAAGAGGGAGCTCAGAGTCAAAGTGAGACTTGAAGATGCTACTGCTGGCTTTGAAAATGGAGGAAAGCGCCACAAGCCAAGAAACGCAGGGAGACTCTAGAAGCTGGAAAAGGCAACGGAATGGATTCTCCCCAAGAGCCTCCAGAAGTGACACAGTCCTGCTAACACCTTTAGACCAGTGAAACCAATTTCTGGACTTCTGATTTCCAAAACTGTAAGATAATAAATTTTCGTTGTCTTAAGCCACTAAATTTGTGTTAATTTGTTATGGCAGCAATAGGAAACTAATACACTAGACCAAACCTTATAACATTAAACTTGCTTTTCTAATGATACTATTAATACAAATTAATTCCAAGCCGGAACACAAATTGGATCCATAATATTAAACCCACACCAAAAGAAAAAGGAATGCAATGCATATGGACATGGAAAAGTAAAGTTTATGGAGTTGTAGAAGTTTTTTCTTTTTTAAACTGTTGTATTGCTGTTTTATTAGTATAGTATAATTTATATTTACTAATATAAGCTAAAAAAAGAATCACTGTTACACCAGTATCAGCTTAATAAACACTTTTCCTTCTCTTATTACGAAGAAATATATAATGAAAAGAACAACAAATGGACTAACCATCAGGATTCTAGGCTAAAGCTTTAGATGGCTGTGTAACTTTGGGCAAGTCACTTTACCTCTCTGGGCTACAATTTCTCTAATGGAAAGAAAGGCAAAATTGTTAGTTAGAATTGGTAATTACTTCCCAAAGTGTGAGATAAGTAAATACCATGGTACACGAAATTATAGCTGTCAAGAAACAACTGAGTCACTAAATGGCACTAATTCACGTAATAAAAAAAAAATCTCTTTTGATGATCTGATTATATCATGGTTCTTTTACCCTCCAGAAGACTATTACTGATTCCCAAATGGGCATATATGAAAATTGGAAAGAAGTAGACTAAAAGTCAGAACACTTGAATCCTTGTTTATTATAAGTTCGCTTCATAGCCTTGAGCAAACTATTCCTGGGCTTTATCTTCCTGTACCTTCAAATGAGACAAACTATGATCTACACTGATTTACATTCAGCCTTCTCTTTTATACACAATGGATCATGACCACACTAGTCTACTCAAAATTCACTAGCTGGAAGGCACTGATGAATTCAAATTATAAGCCTTAGCATATTAGACTTCTTGTATCTTCCTACCTTCTCAGGGCCCTCATGCTATTGATTATTCCCTCAATCCCCAAAGAAAATCTTGGACTTCTGTTGAACAGACATCCTCCTTGAAAAGCTCTTCTCCCTTAGATTTCCTGACAATACAGTCTCTCCTTGTTGTATTTATTTATATATATAAAAATATACATCCATCCATCCATTCATGCATTCATGCAACAAGTATTTAATGAGGGGCACAGTGGAAAGACTAGGGAGGGAGAACTGAAATGTGGGGGATCAGTAAGGAGCAATAAAGTATAAAATACTAGAGGAACGCTCATACTAGAAGATGGATTATAAGAGGGGGTTTCTCTTTGAGTATTGTCAGAGGACTACCAAGAGAGGAAAAGATGGGTGAATCCCAACAGTCTTTTGGAGAATCCTGGATAATTAGTGCTCTGGCTTGGAAAGGAAGTCTGGTGATTGTAGGGAAAGCTGAATGTCTCTTTTCCTCTCAATTCATAGGTATTGCCAATCAAGATAGGGAGATGGGTGAATCCCAACAGTCTTTTGGAGAATCCTGGATAATTAGTGCTCTGGCTTGGAAAGGAAGTCTGGTGGTTGTAGGGAAAGCTGAATGTCTCTTTTCCTCTCAATTCATAGGTATTGCCAATCAAGATAGGTATAGCTGTGGCTGGTAAAAGGGAGCCAAAGAGTATGAGATGCACATGATGGGTATGGGGGAGGAGACAGTGGTCTAAGCATGGAGCTCAGTATTTTGGGGTCAATACCTACTTGACTTGGGGGTAGGGAATGGTAGCAAGAGATGGGCTTCTCTTCCTCTGCCTATTCATTTAAATGTTAGTGTTTCCAAGAATTGTGTTCCAGTACTCTGCTCCATCTTACTCTAGAATCAAGTCCAGTACTTAAATACTACCTATGTTCTGATGATTTTCATATCTAATATTAAGCATCAATAATAATAACTGCAATGGATTAAAAAACAACAATTAGTTTAAATGACTGAGTTTCTGACATAAAAAAAAAATTGGACACCTTTGGAGAATGCCAGAAAACCAACTTTCTATTCTGAAAATTAGTAATTAAGGGAAAGTATCAACCAAACAGATGAGGTAAAGCTTCTCTCTACAGAAGTATTCCAATAAATAAATGGAAAAGAAACTGAGGTGGAATAGCACCATCATGTAACCAGTAACAAATTGACGGATCTAGATAATAAACACCAATGGCTGCTAACATTACACAAAAAAAGAGACAATCAGACATTATATGCCTCTTGATAAACAATACACTACCTATTGCAGTGTCTTGCAAACAAAAAACTGAACTATCAATATAAATAACCCCCAGCTCCAATCTGATTATTAAGAAATACAGAAGACAAAGGAATATGTTAAACTACACCATAGGAATGCAATCAGTGAAGTCCTGACTAAAATACCCGATAGGACAAATGACCTTATTTCTTCAACAAGTTGAAAAATAAAAAAGGGATAAAAGGGAAACCTACAGAGATTTAAGACAGGCAAAACTAAACAATATTGTTTACACATTTGAATGACAAAATCATAAAGAAAAGTAAGGAAATGATCACCATAAAAGACAGGACCACAGTTCCTCTGATGAGGAACTAAGTGGGGAAGTTACTGGGAGGTGAATGTGGTGGGCTTCTGAAATGAATGGCTAGGGTCCATCTCCCGACATGGGCAATGGTTACAAGGGTGTTCACCTTATATGTAATTCATCAAACTGTGCTTTTGTACAGTTTTCCCTATTTGTGTTATTTTTAACAACAAAAATTTAAATGAAATAATCCTAAACACAGGGATTATAATCCTAATCATGGCAATCAGTCTTCACCCTGTTACTATCATATATAAATATGAAAAATAGTTTTTGGAATCCTTTGGAATATAACAGTTATAATTCTTCAAAAAAAAGTAATTCACTAAGAGTGTTTCAAACAATGCACTTGATAATGTTAGCTATTATTATTAGGGTTTTATATTTGAAGATGAAAACCTCATACTTGGGCCGGCCCGGTGGCGCACTGCTACAGTGCGCCGCTTGGGAAGCGCGGCGGCTCTCCCGCCGAGGGTTCGGATCCCACATACAGACCGGTTCCCGCTCACTGGCTGAGCGAGGTGTGGGCGCAGCACCAAGGGTTGCGATCCCGTTGCCGGTCCCGGTCTGGTACGGGCGCGACACTGAGGGTTGCGATCCGTTGCCGGACACGAAAAAAGACAAAAAGGAAAAAAAAAAAAAAACCTCATACTTACTAGTTTGCTGCTGCTGCTGTGTGTTAAATCCTCCAAATCCCAGTCCAGTTCCCAAACCAGTACCTAAACCAGTACTAGTTCCTGTTGTTGTGCCAAAGCCAGTGCCAAATCCAAAACCTTTGTTCTGAGTACCACCAAAGAGTCCTTTGAATGAAAAATTGAAATTGCATAAGTTAAAAAAAATCTGACATCTACTTCATTTACTTCTACAAATGACTTAAGATGGCATCTTACCAGTAGTGCCTGTGTTAGCTGGGGCAGAAAAACTGAATGCAGAACCTGCAGTTGTAGATGTTGTTCCAAATCCTCCAAACCCACCTAATTTAAAAAGGATAAAAATAGAAAGAAAAAATCTTGTATACATAAAGGCAATTTCTTTTTCAAATTGTTTTATAAATAACTGCTACATAAAAAGTCAAAATACTAGTATACTGATCTAATTTTTTCTCTCTTTACTTTTGACTTCAATTTTTTTTAATTCAAAATATTACAACACTCACTTGTACATATTTATGGGGTACAGTGTGCCAACATCAATTTTTTAAAAACTATACTACTAATCAAGAATGTTGTAAGAAATAAGCAACTATGTATTTAAAATAGAAATACCACGATGCTATATATACCTTTCAAATAAAGGAGTGATTAACAGTAACAGCTGAGAAAATACATTAAGCTTATTGCCATAACTTTAAAATGACTATGTACTTTTCAAGTAAGGATTGCAAATTCAAATGCCTACAAGATTTAGACTGATAACATTAAGGAGTAAAGTAGTCTAGGTGTTTACTGACATGTGGATCTATTTGAAGTGAAATTTTAAAAATAGCAGCGGTTCCTAAATTCCAGCAGATTATTATTACAGAAGAATGGTAGTTTAGTTAGTGTTATATATTCCCATTTTCTTCCCCAAGAGATATAGGAAATCTCGATTTTTTATGTAAAATGTATTGATTTTTAAACTATTATTCAACTTTTTTTTGCAACTAATTCAAATAATTAGTGTGTCAAGCATATCATGTTGCCAGTCTACAACCTTGGTTTTGGTGAATTAATTTATATCTACATTAGCTAATATTTCTACTTAGTCTCCACCAACACTAAGCAACTTTTCAAAGGAAACATACCAGTACACTTATCTCTGTACAACAAGAATATGTCTCTTGAAAGAAGAGTTAAGGGGGAAAAAAAAAGTGGATGCAGTGGCAGGAAAAGTAAGCAAAACTACCCTCAGGCCTCTACACCAAAGTTTGGCAACTCTGACAAATTTCATTTCTAAATAATCCTAGAGATTAAATTAATCTTAACCATATCTAACTCGATATATGAATGGAATGGAATGCTAGCCAATCTGACATTATTTTTATTTATTTATTTTACTTATTGTCAGTCTTTAGCTGATCATCAACATAGCATCAAGACAAATGTTTGGACTATTATTGCTGAGTTATGCTGCAGGTTTTCTGGGATTCTAACTTTAATCTCACATATTTCTGGTATACAAGACAGATTAATCAAGATTGTAACATAAAAGATATAAGAAGAAAAACCCAAACCATTTGTTATTAATCATATAATTCTGATTTGGAAAATTACTCAAGAGTAAACTGCATGTTACATGCAGGCACAACCAAATATTCTATTTACTTGAGGTTCTATTGCAGTACTGCAAATTGTAAACCTTTTGATAAAAATCACCCAAGGTATTAAGTACTGTTCTTAATCTCTATTCATTACTCCTCATTTCCATAGAATAAGTATGACATAATCTGAATTGGCTACACAATAAAAACAACATTAGTCAGTATCTTATGCTCCATAATACCAAAAACTAATAGTTGGATCTGCAAGGATACAAAATTAAAAAGTGAACATGAATTTCTATCAACCCTTTGCTGGAAGTTAATTAACATATATAAAAGTAGTTAAAACACAATTTTATATCACAACTCAAAACTTAACAGTGATAACTCCAAATGAACATGAAATCAAGCAAATAACAAGTTTTATTTACTGTTGTTGAATTATGAGCTTGGTGGCTTTATTTGGAAACACAAATTTCAAAATAAGGTTTCTGTTTTACCCAGTGCCAATTTTAAGCAAACAGGGAAAAGTAAACATACCTAAGGACAGTGATATGTGATCACTTCAAATATATCTTAATGACAATAGATTATTTTGTCTTTGGTATTTTCAAATATTCTTCAAACTGTTTTCAACTCAGATGCTACAGTGATATTTACATTGCAGTAACAAGTGAAGAACAAAATACCAGACTTCCCAAATAAGTTTTAGGGAGTAAATAATGTTTACCAAATGCATATAATTGGCATGGGCATAAAAGGCATAATGTAAGAGAATATGGACGATAAATTCATATACGAGCAGCTGAGGAACAAAATTTTTCTGTAGGGTCATTGTATGTAAAGTACACATAAACCTATTTTAAATTTATTTGTATATCCATATAAGTATCCATATATATATTTATATATATAGTAGTGCTTTGCAAAAATTTTAATGATCTCGAAACAATCCACATAGATATTAAAATTTTCATAATTATCTTTTTGAATGCAAAGATGTCTAGCCTACCTTTTAAAACTCAGTGCTATCTGACAATAAATTAAACTGCTCTCTGAGCATTTCCCAAAAATTCAGTAAAGAATTGGGGATTCTTTTTATAATTAGTTATCATGTAGAAATGTATCCTAATCTGCTTAGTTGACCAAAGAAACACATTAGTGGTAGAGGGGGAGGAGGAGGGGAAGGAGGAAGGGAAGGGGGGAGGAGAGGGAAGAGGGGGAAGAGAAGGAGGAGGAGGAGTATACAGGTTAAAAAAACAAGAGAGGTTACTGCTGTTCGTATAAGACTTGTTTCCCTTTGGAAACACAAGGACAATAAAATGAAATCCCAATGAAAGATGCAGAAAAAATGAAAAATGACTGCAGGAGTCCAAGAATCCAGGATAATAGGCCTGAATAGTGATTAGTATTACTATATCTAATAATTTGAAGGATATATTCTATTCAAAGTTACAATCCATCCCAAATTCTTATCATTTGGAAGATATATTCCATTCGATTAAATGAAAATTTAACACGGGAACATAACTTGCAAGAGTTTCCAAAATCACATCTTTGTAAGTCAAAATTTGATACAAATGTTTTTGATTCGACATTAGGAAATGAATTTCCTTTCCTTATTAGACAAGTCACTGTTCCTTCCCAAACTCTAGGAACCACAAAATATTCTTGGACTCCAGCTCCCAACACTCGTTGCACATACAACCCGCAGTTATCTACCTGCACTCGCCAGACTGTTACCAAAATTGAACGGAGTCACCGAGGTGGTAGAAACACCGAAATTCCCAATATTAAAGTTCACTGCTGGATTAGCAGTTAATCCGAAACCCCCAAAATTAAACCCACTGGCGGTGGAGTTGGCAGTCTCAAGCCCACCAAATCCTGATAGGCGTGTAGGCAAAGAAACAAACAAAATTTTAAAAAGGGGGAAAGGGAAAGAGAAAAAGCAAGCAAACAAGATAAAGATTAGAAGAATCAGCAAGAGATTTCAAAGAACAGAACAAACCTGACTTTGCACCAAACAAGTTAAGATAGCAGAGGAAGTGGGGACAGACGGAAGGAACAGGAGCCTGAAGTCCCGTAGCGGGCACCACAAAGGGCCAGGGGGAAGGCTCCCGCCCCTCCGGGGCTGGGACCGCGGCAGCCGCAGAGCAGTGCGCGGGGATCCCCAACCCTATCCTCGCCGACTCCGGCAGCGAGAGCCGCGCGAGCGTTCCCGCCCGTCCAGAAGGCTGAGGTGGAGAGAGCAGGAAAGATCTCGGGCACGGGGAGAGGGAAGCAGCCTCCAATCTCTCCAAGTCAGACTCAGGAAGCCAACCACGGAACACAGGGCCCCGCGGGGACCCACGGCGGCAAGCGAGCTCCGGGTTGGGCCTCCAGTACCCGCGGCCTCCTCAGGAGCCGCCTCGGCCGCTCTACCGCCGCCCGCCCTTTACCAATGCCCCTCAAGTCTCCGCGCGAGCGGGAGTCCCCAGGATCCCCAAGCCTGTAGGTGTCGGACCAAGGGGACGGACCAAAGGCTTCCTCTCCTTCCTAAGAGAGGGTCCAGGGGGGTCACTCACCCGCGGGGGCCGCGGTGGCTGCAGCGGTGCCCGAGGTGCCCGAGGGAGCCCCAAAATTGAAGGCCATGTTGTGAGAGCAGGGGACCGAGGCGCGGCTCCGCGACGCTCGGTACGCTCCTCTTTTCGGTTCCGGCGGGAAACCGGCCGCCGGATCGCAAGAGTTCCGCCTCCTTACTGGCCGAGCCTAACAGGCCGGAACGTAGTGGGTGGAGACCGGCCCGCTTCCGGGCGTCTTTGAGGCTTCGCTTGGCGTGGGGCGGCACGACTTGGGTGAACTGCTGGGAAGCTCGCAAAGATGCACCGCCAGAGATCCCTTAAAAACTGCCTTTGGGAGGTTCTTTAGAAAAGGTGTGCCTCGGCTGAAGTTGTTACTGTAGGGATATGAGTTAGGCAGCTGTGCATGTGGTAGGGGTTGAAGATGCTGCCTTATCAAATAGCGGGCCTAGGTGGGCGGGAAGGCTGGGCCGGGGTCGAGAAGGCTCCCCTGAGGCAGTGCTGCTTGAACCCAGTCCCGAAGGATGAGTAGGCAAGCAGAGGCAGGAAAGAGGAGGCATGTTGGAAGAACCGAAAAAGAATGGGAGTCGTAGCAAACACATTGTGTTTACTACGTACCAGGTACTCTTCTAACCGTTTCACATAATTTAATCCCCAACTGTCTCGTGAGGTAGGTTACTATTATCCCCATCTTATGGAAGAGGAAACAGGCACAGAGGGTCAGGCTGGGCCCAGACTTTGTGCTCTTAAACGGTAAGATCCCTCTGGCTGCCATAAGGAGAGTGGATTGGAGGGAGCCAGCATGTCCGAGGAAGGTAGAGCTTTTAGGAGTCTGTTGCAGTTGCGCAGGTAAAAGATGATAGTGACTTGGATTATAGTTATGGCAGTGGGGTGAGAAGAACAAATTTGAAAGATATTTAAGAAATAGAATATGAGGGTACTTCAAAAAGTTCTTGGAAAATGGAATTTAAAAATAATATGAATCTTTCTATGAACTTTTTGAAGACCCCTCTTAATTAGGACTTGATAGTGGTGTGAATGTAAGCAGAAAGGATTCGAAGACAACTCCCTGGTTTCTGGCTTGAGCAAATGGATGAATTGTGGACCGTTGTTTGATTCCTGTAAACTAGGTATGCTCCCATACTCACTGCACTGCCTTCTTTCACCATTTGTCATAGGTATACTATTTGTTAATCTAATCTTTCCTCACAAGAATATATATTCCATAAGAACACCAGAACCGTGTCCCCCTTGTTCCTTGCCCAACAAAGTGCCTGGCATATAATAGGGCTAAATAAAAAATGAATGAATGACCAGTAGGTAGGAACCAGATCTTGAAAGACCTTGCTGGCATGTTAAAGAGCTTTGATTTGATCATGTACGTAGTAGGGGCTGTTGAAGAATTTGTCCAGGTAGTGGCATTATTAGCTTAATAAAGCTTGTCCTGGCATCATTGTGCAAGATGGTTTTAAGTAGAAGTCCAATAGGGAGATCATCAAGTTTTTGAGTTTCCTAGTGAAGTTGGCAGACTTAATATAGGCATTTCCTCTTGTCCCCCTTAAAATTCTTCTAAAACCACAATATAGGGATTTAAAAAAAAAATTATAGCATAAACCTAAAAGGATGGGGAGAATGGAAAAGAAGGCAGTAGTATCAACATTTTGGAAGTTGTAAGCAGATACCCTAATGGTTAAGTAATTAGCATACCTCAAAAAACAAAACATAAAAACCCCCCAAAACAAAACAATCTAGCAAAAAAGAAAACCAAAAATTAACTTACAGAATCTTCTAGAAGGCTCAGGAATTAATTGGAGGTACCAAGTATCTTTATAAGTTGGGGTGAAGGAAAGTGAAAGGAACTAGTTGAAAGTCTATTTAAGAAGTAAGTAGAGCTCCCAGAATCACCTCCCCAACTTAGTGCAATCAAGTCAATGCTTTTTCCCCATCCTAGAAAAAGAATGCTTATTCTCTGGAGTGATTAAAATGGTAGTGTCTCTGAACATGTGGGCACCAGACGTTATTGAGAGTTGCTGGTACTGTACTGAATACTGGAAGACTGAGTGGATACGCCTTCCAGATACTGTGATGCATAGACATCTTCCCCTGCTGTTCTCAGCATTGACGGCCAGGCCTTTACTCTCCAGGCAGAAGACTGGGAGAATCTTTTATGGCAAACATCACCAATACTAGAGAAAATACAGAATTATCTGACATCAGAAATTTCCTAAATAAATGGTTCCCTAATAATTCCCACTTTATAATGGTTCTCAACTGGAGGCACATTCGTCAATGTCTGCAGACATTTTTGGTTGTTGCAACTGGGAAAATACTACTGGCATCTATTGGTAGAAGCTGGTAATGCTGCTAAATATCCTACAAAGCATAGGACATTGCCCCTGCCCTCCCCAAACAAAAAATTATCTGTCCCCAAATACCATTAGTGCAGAGTTTGGGAAATCCTGCTTTATAGTAGAGCTCACAGTTTGCAAGCACCACTCAGGCACTCAGAACTCCCAATCACTTTTTAAGTCCCTCTTAAATATGAGCAAACCAGCAAGGATTACAAGACATCCGAAGAGGGCCTTTAACATAAAATATGGAGATCAAAACAAATAGGGGGGAAAAGCAGCATGGAGGAAACTGACTGCAAGAATGAAACTTTTGAAAAGCAAACATATCCTGAGAGATAGCAAGAGATATTGCAACCATAAAATAATATCAGGATATTATTATAAAAAAGGGATTTGGGGGTGGGGGAGAAACAAAGACAGCTACTGGAATTTTAAATGTATTACCAGAAATGAAAATATCAGTAGAAGAGTTGGACAGTAAAGGTGAAGAAACCTCCCAGAAAGTAAAGCAAAAAAGACAAAGGAATGGAAAATAGAAGAGAAAATATAGTTCAAAAAGTCTATCACCGACATAATAGTTCCAGGAAGAGTACAAAGAAAAATCTGCCCATAGAAGAGTTGGACAGTAAAGGTGAAGAAACCTCCCAGAAAGTAAAGCAAAAAAGACAAAGGAATGGAAAATAGAAGAGAAAATATAATTAGAGGACTAGTTCAAAAAGTCTATCACCGACATAATAGTTCCAGGAAGAGTACAAAGAAAAATCTGCCCTTTTAAATCCTTCAAGATTTGGTTTCTTCCTACCTGTCATTCATTCATTCAGGATTTATTGAGCCCCCTTATGTACCTGGCACTGTTCTGAGCACTAAACAAGAGAGGCATGGTTTATGCTTTTGTGAACTTACACTTGAGCACGGGAAAGACAGACATTAAATATATAATGCATTTGTGATGACTGTTTGAAGAAGGCAGTACAGAGGAGGAAGTCATTTAATAAATAAAGAAAATTTTCTACAATTGAAATACATTTCTGTATTGAAATGGCTCACCAGATACTCATTACAATGAGTGAAAATAGACTTACATTAAGGCACATTCTGCAATAACAACCATGATGTCGAAGAAAATCTTCCAGAGAGTAAAACAGGTCACACACACAAGACCAGGAATCAAAATAGCTTTGGACTTTTCAATAGCTGCACTAGTTAGAAGGCAATAGAGAAATGCCTGTGAATTTCTGAATTAAAAATATTTGCACCCTGGAATTCTGTTCCCAGCCAATTTATAGATCAACTGTGAAGGGAGAATAAAGACATTTTCAGACACGAAATTTCTCAAAAACAAAACACCTCCTATTTCTCAGGCAATCAAGTTACTAGAGGATATGTTCCACCAAGATGGAGTCAACCATGAAAGAGGAAGAAATGACCAGGAATATATAGGAACTGTAACACAAATGAAGGGAATCCCCAGGATGACAACTGGGCCTCCTACTTAGAGAGCAACCAGTCTAGATTTTCGTAGGTCAGAAGGTTCTGGGAAAGACTTTATAAGGGTGAACAATTTGAGTGAGATTTAGATAACCAATAAAGAGTTTGGGGTTGAATGGGTGATAAATACATGGAAAACTAAGCAAAGGAGACAATTAAACGATGTTGTATGAGAAAGAAAAAGTTAATAAAAGCTTCCTACATGGCTCAATTGTGGAAAGTTTCCACATAATTCCAATAATATAAACTATTGATCTAGCCGAAATTATGGCATGGCTATATTGGAAAGATGGCAGAATGGGAAGAACACGTGTGTAGGGAAGACAGAGGGTGGGAAAGAGCCAAATCCTCATCCTCCAAAGTGGAGAGTCAACAGATAATGCTAAAACTGAAAATTCACCAAGCAGTGCATCATCTAAAATCAAAGGGGTGCCTTTGAGAATGGTGTCTGCTATTCTTTATTTAATAACACACATTGTAGAATTGTTTGATTCTTAAATCTATGTGCTTGTATGTACAACTTTAATAAAAATAACAACTCCCTGTACCAGCCAGCCACCAACAAAATAAATTAAAATAAATTAAAATTTTAGAAAATAAAGGAAAATAAGCAATAATTTAAAAGCCCTTGTATCCATCAGAATTACAAATGTCCTTTGACCAGCAATGCTACTTCTAGTAATTTATCTTATAATCAGGCAAAATTATGGAATACAAGGTTATTCATTACAGCATTGTTTATAATAATTGATTGTGAAAAAACAGGGTTTGATTAAATAAATTGTTGCATTTATACAAAAATACTATTTAGCCATGAAATGGGAACAAAAAGCTCTTTATGTACTGATAAGAAATCTCAAAGATAAACTACTTGAAAAACACAATTCAGAACAGTGTGCATGTATGCTATAATTTGGGTAAAAAAGAGGTTAGAATATATAAATATACATATTTCTACAAATATTCCTGGAAAGATACTTTTTTTAAAAAGGTAAATAATATTGGTTATTGGGTGGCTAGGAGACAGGGGTGGAGAAAAACTGCACTCTAAATCTCTTTTATGCTTTTTGTAAATGTAAATGTGATATTTATTCAAAAAATTCAATAATGCTAATAGCCGTTGTTACGGGAATCCTAGTGAGAGCGCTGATGTGCGTGTGAGGAGAGCAGGAGTGAAGGCTGAGAAGCGATTGCTTGGTTGATCCAATGTGGAGGAGAGGGAAAGGAGGTGTCTAGCATACCTCCCTTGTTCCTGACTTGTACAGCGGAATAGATTGTGATGCCATTCCCCAGTAATGGGAATTTGGGAAGAAGACAACAAAAATGAGTCAATTTACTGTGTTTGAGGATAACCCAGCTGGGGATATCTAGCAGGCATTTGGATATGTGAAGCTGAAGTTGAACAGAGAGGCCCATGTTTAGATTGTAAATGAAGTCAGAGAAGTAAATAGGACTGTCAGGGAGAGAGTATCAAGTGAGAAGAGGTTGCAGCTGAGCACCAGTAGTAAGAGACCCTTGGAGGTAGCTTGAGATAAAGTGGCCAAACGTGGCCTGCTGCCTAGTTTTGTAAAATACAGTGTTATTGGAACACAGTCACTATTTGTTTACATGTTGTCAACAGCTGCTTTCATGCTGCAAGAGCAGACTTGGATAGTTGTGACAGAGCATACGGCTTACAAATCCAAAATTATTTTGTATCTGGCCCTTTACGGAACTAGTTTACCAACCCCAACCTAGACTGCTGCAGCAGACCCTGTTGTGCAATGAGCAGGACTTTCTGCCTTTGGCAGTTCATCCTGGGTTGCCTGGATAATGAGTTAGCTGTGGCTGGGGTTTCCCACTTCTCCTAGGGAAGGGGCTGCACCCAAGCTAAGGTTCCCATGGGACCAGTGCCTTCTTCACCCCATCAGTGGAGATTGTAACATTCTATGGACAGCTGGCATTCCCAGATAACTCCTGTGAAACATAGGCACCCCAAATCCAGACTACCTGCAGCTAAGCAGCTTGTGTATTCCCCCATTCACAAGACTGCTTCTTCACACTTGCCCTATAGAAATGGGAACTGGTGGGGGATGTGTTCTTAATGAGACCAAACAGTGCTCTGGCCATCAGCTCACCTCTCCATGGGAGGGGGATGGAGGGTCTGTACCTTTTTTCTGGCTGTCTTGTATGTTTTTATTTTCTCCAGTAAAACCCATTCCTTATTAACCCATGTTCTGTGGCTTTGTGAAATTCACCCTGAAGGGTAGTGCATGAGAGTTGATAACCCAGAGGAGACCCATCTTGCATGCCACTGGGGACCCCAAAGGTACCCACCTAGCACAACAGCCTCCTAGCTGATCTTGCATCCATATTGACCCTCTTCCAATGTATTCTTCACCCTGCAGATAGAATGGTTCTTTCTAAACAAACCTGTCCTGTCACCCACCTTCCCCCAACAACCCAGTTTAAAACACTTCAATAGTTTCCTGTTGGTCTTAAAATAAACCAAAATACCAAAATCTTTACTATGGCTTAATGAGACCCAACATGACCTGGCCACTGCCTCTCTCCAGCCTTATCTCCCACCATTCTTCCCTCTCTGAAGTCCATCCAAACATTTTCTCAGTCACTTGTAGTAAACATGTTCCCTGCTGCTCCTGCACATTCTGTCCGTCTGTCTGAAATGCTTTGCTTTGCCTAATTAATTCCAACTCCAAATCATGTTCCTAGAACATCATGAAATTTAGCTGAAATTTTATATTTATCTGTATTTCCCCACCAGAGTATAAGATTCAGATGTCTCTTTTTGGTCATCAGTGGCCTAGTTTATATTTATTGTGCCTGCCATAAAGTGGGTGCTCAATAAAATTAGTTGAACATATTTTTAGGTATAATATAGAAAGAAGCCAGGCCCCAAATACCACATGCTATATCATTCTATTTCTGTGAAATGTCCCGTAAAGGCAAATCTGTAGAGGCAGAAAGCAGATTAGTGATTGCTAGGGGCTAGGGGTGGGAACAGGGAGTGGCAGTAAACTGGCACGAGCGATTTTATTGAGGTGATGAATATGTTCTAAAACTGTACAATTCAGAAAGTTTACTAAAAACCATTGTACAGTTAAAACAGGTGAATTTTGTGGTATGTAAATCATATCTCAATTAAGGTGTTTAAAGAACATAGTTGACTAGATAAAGAATATAGTTACTATTGGAAATGGGACTGTTGAAATGAGCAGGACTGAAACCATGTTGGGACCTAAAACCACATGGGTTCTGAAAGATTTTAAAAGGACATAGTTTTTCTCTTGGCATGCATTTCTCCGAGCTCCCTCTTTTCCCATGGTTATCTGGTATTTTGAATCTTGGTTATGGGGCAAAATGACATTATTTACATAAATGTAAAGTTGTTTTCCAGCCAGCCTGAAGCTGCAGACTTGCACGTACTATCCAGACCTAAGAAGACATCAATAAAGCTGTGCTGATTCCATCCCCCTCCAGGACCAAAATAACAGCAAGGATGGGAGCAGAAATGAGATGGAGGCTTGGCAAGAACTTGCACCTGGCTCCTTGCACAAGCCCACATCTCTCTCCCTCCTGCTTTTCAATTCCCACGTCGTGTTCCCTCAAGCCCCTCTTAAAAAACCCCTCAGTAAATCTGTCTTTGGCCATTCTGCGTTAGCTTAACATCTCTCCTCAGGTCACCAGTATTCCTGAATAAAAGCTGACTTCCATTTTCACCAACATTTGACCTTTGAGTGGTTTGGTTTTGAAAGGGGGCATGCAGCAGGACATGTGCCCAATAACAGGACCTTTATCTTGTGCTAAATGTGTACACGTTTCTAGACTTTGCATTCTATACACTCATCCTATACCATACATTCTAAAGTATTGTTCATGGATATATGTTTTAATACCTGATTATTTTTTAAAATATTTTTTCTGGATTTTTAATTTTGTGGGTTTTTTTTTTTTTTTTTGGCAGCTGGCCAGTAGGGAGATACATGGATTTTTCTTAATCCCTGATTTGAAATAATTAGGTTTGATATGTTACAAAGTTCCAGGAGTCTCTATATACCTCTAGGGTAAAGAGAAATAGGTACAAGAAGCTTCCCTTGTGACATAAGCCAGCTGAAATCAGATTTGGGACTCCTGGGAAGTACATGTGCTAGGGATCAAGTGTCCTTGATACATGAGGACATTTGTAAGACCGAGCTAGATATTTTATGACTGATCTGGATTTGCTCTGATTTCGGAAATAACATGTAATATCTGAGATGGGAAAAGGTTTTAAAGGGAATCTGAATTTTTGGACTAATAACTTTTGTCCAAATGTCCACAGAAACAAAAGCTCCAGTACCTCTCCAATAGCTCTCTAATACTCCCGAGACCTTCTGGGTAAACTTGTCTGCTAAAACTTTAGTTGCACTTACCTGGAAGCAGACCTGAGAAAAGGATATTAGTGTAGGTATATAATTTGGGAGTAAGCAGCAGCAAGAGGGCAGGGAGAGTGAGGCAGGGAATGAAGAAACATTAATAGAAAGCAATTACCACTGCAGCCAATCCTAGTGCAGGAACCATGTAGAAGGAAGCTGAGAGCTGTTGCTCTGAGGATTGGAACACTTGTCAGCTGACTCCTGCTCCCTTTGGCTGAGGGTTGCCGTAGGAGCTTTCAGGGCCCTGGAGAAAGCCCTGAGGCCGAAAGGCAGAGTATGGGAGCTGCTTGGAGTGGGACTTGTCATGCCGCCTATAAATGTCCACCACAGCTGAGCTGATGTCAGAGGTGGCCTGAGGGGTATGACTCAGGGCTGCATCTGTCAAGGGGCATGTAGACAACTGGACATCTGATGACATACAATTCCCAGTGCAATTTTATATAAAGTTTTTTTTATTAGTGAAACATTTCATTGCATTAAGGGTGGAAGTAAACATGTCAAGAATCACATGAAATGCACCAACTGTATAAGCTACATGAAGAGCTTTCTGTTCAGTATTCCCTTTAATAAGCACAAGCAATTTACTCTAGTAATAATGGCCAGAGGGCCAAGTATGAGACTTACTTTTGTAGAATGCATATCTCGAGCAATTTAAATTAAAAATTAGCCTCCCTTAAGTAAAAACCCCAATAGGGGTTAGTTGTGTAGAACTTGTTCTACTCGACCATTAGTGATCTTTCTAGAACACAAGGATATAAAATCTACTGAGAAAAGCCTGGAACTAAAAGTGGCAAAGCCCATTTCCTGTACTGTGCTCAACTCCCAATTTTCCCTGAGAGAGGTGAGTTAAGCACTCTCTTGGTTTCTCCCCCTTTGAGTATCATGGTGCCTGCATTCTGTGATCGTGACACTGCTGACAATCACAAAACCTCTGGGGGTCTTTCCAAGATAATAGCTGCAAGAGAATGAGCGTGAGGAAAAGTTTATTTTCAACCCAAAACCTTGAGTATCATGGTGCCTGCATTCTGTGATCGTGACACTGCTGACAATCACAAAACCTCTGGGGGTTTTTCCAAGATAATAGCTGCAAGAGAATGAGCGTGAGGAAAAGTTTATTTTCAACCCAAAACCCCATAGGGACATTCATTCTTCTCAACCAGTCTATTCTAATTGTGACTGCAGTTTACGGATTTACCACAGACTTCGGAAGGAAAATATCAAATGTGATTTTAAGCAAGCCACCTATTAAGAATCATGACATAAATATGGAATTAATATGTTTTGTCTCCCTGCCTGTGTGGGATTCAGTCTAAATGTGTATCCATCATTAACTGCTACCACTTGCCGTATATAAAAATTTCCTCCTCATAGATGATATATCCTGATAATAGGACTGAACCAATGAGTACACACTGGCTTATCAATTTTATTAGTGTGAATAAGTAGATGCATAAAGAATACGATGTTAAGTATTAATAAATTCCCAAAATTTAAATATTTAGCGTTATTGAAGACCAAATATTTTTTATTTTGTTTTTTACATTTTGCTGATTCAGGGTATGTAAAGGTTCTATCTCAATTTATAGAAAAGTTGAGAGCTTAATGAATTGTTCCTTCAAGAAGATAAACACACCATATATTGCTTTAGTGTAGAAAGAGAGAATTGGGGCATGTAAATTAAGGCAATTTATCACCTCCATACAGGGATCAGAAGCTATGTAAGTGGAAGCCATGATTTTTTTTCTTCATTTGCTTACACTGAAATTCAGTTTTGTACAAAAAATTTCTTAGAATGATTCAGTATTCTATAAGCACTTTGACAGATAGCTATATAGCCTTCTCAATTAAAAATGAATGAGAGAATCAAAGAAAATGCCCTTAAATATATTGAATTCTGAACACTGTGACATTCAATAGTTCCCAATCCTCTAACTTACATTACACTGAAAGCCAAGAAGTCTTTTAAAGAGAGGTGGTTCAGCTTCTGGCATCAGGGGACCTTTCTTTAAAAGCACTTTCTGTCCAATACTTTAAACACCCGTCCATCTGTCAGCAAAATGATTGTTACAGAAAATGTAAAGCAAATTTTTCTCTATTTTTCAGGAAGTGACAGTGAGCCACCAAAGGCTGAAAGGAACTGGATCTGAGGAAAGAACTTATAAAAATATTTCAAAGTTAACAAGGAAACTGCTCCAGAAGAAATGTCTCTTTACTGTAGTCAATCTGCCTGAACTTTATGTGTAACCTAGACTGTGGATGGATAATTTCCTATATTCATAATTTTACAAATAATCACTCGATGGTATTGTAATTAATACAGAATCATACTTGGCAGAGGTGACTGGGGGAAAAAATCAGTTACTGATTACACTCTCCCAGAAGCATCTTTTCACATCAAGATCATTTTCACTAAAAAATAACACTTAACTAACAACAAGTGTCATAACTAGCATTTAGTTCTACTCTATATGGAATATCTGAACTTATCCTCACCAACATTATTTATACGTTCTCCTGGTTCACAAAATACAAGTTAAAAATCATTAGGAGCTTATCACTATCAACTTAAGGGTACCACCCCACCCAATCCCCTCCTTGCTTGATCCCTACGTAGTATAAAAGTAGTCGGAAGTCTGAGTTATTTTCCTAAAGGAAAATGAACTGAAGATTAGCTTAAAATGCAATATGCAATGTTTTAAAAGAGGAAATCAGCTGCATTGGAATAATGTATTGAATGAGGATACCATTCTCCCCTGGGTTCCAAACTCTTATTTACTTCTGTTTTGGAAGTGAAATGGAGGAATACAACATAAAATATATCTGTGTATTTCGAGCACAAAATTCAGTGAAAGAAGCATACTGAATAAAAGACCAAGTAACATTAACAAGTAATGCAGAGACATTATACCTACAACAGTGGTCAAAATTTTGGAGCTACCAGCACCCAACAAAAAAAATTACTATACAAGTGTTTATTAAATAAACATGAAAAACAGTTTCAGAGACCACATGATTTTATAAAGCATAACAGCCAGCCATGTCAGCCTGCTCTTTAACCTCTGGCTGGGACGCCCTCATCACTTGCCAGCGCTGTGCCTTTTCCCTCCTTCCAACAGGCAACACGCCTGTGAGGACGCAGAGGGTCTCCCACGTTATGGTCCAAGTCCGGACAGCTCCCACGCTCCCTTCAGCAAGCTCAGATGATAGTTAGGTTCGTATGAGGGGCGCTCTTTCATCTGCCGTTCCCTGAGACACAGAGGAGAGAAGACAGGGAAGTTAGGTGTTCATGTCAGAAACTTCCCAGATGTGAAAAGCTGGGGCCGGGGAAGAGGGTGGAGGAAGGTGGAAGGAGGCGAGACTGACAGGAAGGTGGTTCATTCCACTCACCGCTCCTCTCTTGGCCTGCTTTGTCTTGCTCTTTCTTTTTTTTTTTTTTATTTGGCAGCTGGCCAGTACAGGGATCTGAACCCATGACCTCGGTGTTACCAGCACCACACTCTCCCAAGTGAGCTAACTGGCCAGCCCCTTTCTTAAAGATTCAGACTAACCTTTTTGAGGAGGTCTTCTCTGACCACCCTCCTCTCCATACTGTCTGTGGTGACCCGATTATAACACTTATCACACTCCACTGAATTTGCTCCCTTCCTGATTTGAAACCTACTAGAAAATAGTGTCTCAGAGGTAGGAGGTGCTCAATAATTGCTTGTTGAATAATACATGAAGATGGTTAACTGTAGGATCAGTAATTAACATTTCCATGAGGTTCCACTTGTACTTACAAAAATCTTAATGACTATGCAAAGTCAGATCTATACATATAAATAGCAAAATAGTTTGCCTGACAGCTAATTCAGGCTAAAGTGATCAGCATGGGTTAAGAGACATAATGGAAGCATGTGGGAGGCAGGGAAGTCCAAGCTAATATTACTTAGATGGTTTCAACCCTATTACATTTCCTACTTCACATTTGCTCAGATTAGTTTATGCAGCTAGGAGAAAAAAAATATGAGTTTTTTGTAAAAACGGAAGCTGCTAAGATTTTAAGAACAGCTTTTACAGAAAAGGCTCATTTAGACTCCTGGGTTGGACTGCCGGTCACTCAGGGAGGCCAACCTAACTCTGTTTATCTCATCCCTCCAAGAAAGTAACTTCTCCCATATGCCAATCATTTATTCTGCATTGTGCCTCAATCATAAGTATCTTCTGATACATCAGGGATTCTTTCCAAGCAGGCCTCTAGATGCCTTGCTCTATAATCTTGGAGTTGTCTTATCACATTTAATAATAACTAACGTTTACTGAGCTCTGACCATATACTAACACTGGGCCAAGTCGTTTATATTTACTACATCTTCTAATCCTCATGAAAAATTCATAAAGAGACTATTATTATCCCATTTTTATAGATAAAGAAACTGAGGCACAGTTTCTAGACTCACACAGCTGTTAAGTGGAAGAACTGGGATTTAAACTCAGGCTTTCTGACACCAAAGCCCAGGTGCTTAATTGTTATATATTTTTCCTCTTCTCCATATTATTGTTTTTAAAGATGTAAGGTTAGCTCCTAGAGGATGTAGGGGATTCCATTCCCACCAACGGTACCACTCTATCATCCCTCCTTCACTGACACATTTCCATAGCTTCCCATTTGGGGCAGCAGTAATATAGCCATGAAATCACCATGCCAGCATAAAACCCTAGAATCCATCCTAATGAGGCAGGTGACAGCCCTTCAGTGAGGCACAGTTGAGGAATTCCTCAGGTAAAGTTATCCAGAAAGGGAGATGTTTCTTCAGCTGGTACTCACCTCATCCATGGATCCCTGTTGCCCTCTGCACACAAGCCAGGTGAAGACCAAGCCAAAGAACACACCTAGCGCCATGATGATGTAGGGTATGTTGGTGACAATCAAAGTAGTGTTAATCACAGACTTGAGTCGACTCGCAGTCTCTTTATCAATTAAAACACTCTAGAGGGGCAAGAAAATAGTATTCCCTTGGTGACTAAATATCCAGGGTGTAACTTTTTTGCTATATCTTTCTTTCAAATTATCATAAACAATTTGGGTATGTCCCCCTGTTAGCAAACCAGATATACTGAAAATCCATTTACAAATTAGAGTAACCAGCGAGGACATTTATTTATTAATATCATCTCTTTTCTCCTGAAGACATTTACTACTCTTAAAATAGGTTCAATAAAGGAGGGGAAGAGTATTCAGAAATACTGAGATAATATCATCTTTTGTTTTGTATCAGAGAATTCCAAGTCATCCTTCAAAATCCAGTTCACCACTACTTCCTTCTGGTACTTTTCTCTGGTCACTCAGGCCTGGTGAAAGGTCCCTTCTCTAAGCTTCCATCTCACTGTCTAAAATCCTTCATCGTTGTCCTTGCACTCTGCATTGTAACTGTTTACTGTTTGTCTCCCAGGGACTGTAAGGTCCTTGAAGGCAAGACTTATCTCAGTCACCTCCACACTGGGTATAGCACCCAGTACTCAGTAGGTGCTCAATTAATGCTGGTAGATTAAATGAATGAATGAATGAAACACTCCAAAAATGGTATGAAGAAAGGTATAATTTCTCTTTTGGTTACATCTTAATCAGGACTGGAGGTCTCAAAAGAGTGTTCAGGGAAGTTGTGAGGCTACCAAAATTCCAGAGTTTTGCTAAGGAAATGTGCTAGAATAACACTTTTTGTATGCAGAGCAGAGGTATTAACACCTAGTGTCATGGGTGAGGTATCGGAAGAGCTTAATTCCGTAAAAAATACAACCAACAATTCTGGTTTATTTTAGGCTTAATTTGCAATAGACTGGGTAAGAAGATCGGGTTCCAGGTGGTTCTTCCAATAACTGGCCAAGGCCCCTCAGGGTTAGAGTTTTCTCCCCAGTAAAAAGGCGATGGAGACTAGTCAGTCAGCTTAGTTCATTAATATGTGGTACTTTTTTTTTTTGGTAGCTGGCCGGTACAGGGATCTGAACCCATGACTTTGGTGTTACAATGCTGCACTCTAACCATAGAGCGTGGTGCTGATGATGCCAAGGTTAAGAGTTCCATCTCCCCACCAACCAGCTCCCAAGAAAAAAGAAAAAAGGCAGTGGGGCAGTAGTCTCCAAGGTCACTTCCAGGTCTAATATTTTATTTTTCTAGAGAAGAGAAAAATCAAGCACTATCTAGGAGGCAGTAAAGCACAAGGTTTCACTCCATGTTCCTGGACTCAATCTAGTCTTTAACAAAAAGGAAAACAAACTTTGGGGACAGGGGTGGAGAGGATTTCGAATATGCCACTACCACGAACATAAACTGGAAAAAAAAAGGGCCCTTCTCAGTTTTCCAAAAGTCCTACTTTCACGCCCCTGCCCACAAACAATAACAGTGGTGATCCAGGAGCAATCACAAATAGGTCCTATAAATTGCTAAATACTGATTGAATTTTTCCTATGAAACAATAAAAGCCTCCTCTTGAAATTATAACTACAAACCCTTCAAAAGTTTATAAATGTGGCCATTAATACAATGCTAAATGAAGAAAATAATATGCAAAGCTGTATCTATAGTATGATTTCAACTATGTAACATCAAAACCAGAAAAATACCAGGAGATGATACCTGAAGATGTTACCTTGCTTGTCTCTGAGAGACAGGCCTGTCAGTGCGATACTACAACAGGAGATTTTTTAAAACTTTATCAAGAGTTCTATAAAGAGCACATGTTTTACAAAATGTAAAACATTAAATTAAATTATTTTTTAAAGCTGTCATTACAAAAATTTTACAACATATTGGGTAAAATAAAACGAATTAAAAACAATACATTAGACTGGCTTAGATTTTGTGAGTAGTGATTTTAATTTTTCCTTTTCTTGTTAATATCTATTGCTAAATTCTCCACAAAGCAAAAGTATTCTTAGGGAAAAGAGAAAAATAATTTTAAAAAATTTTAAATGCTGCTGTTAATGACAGAAATCTGCCCAATTGAGAATTTAATGAATGAGAAAAACCTGCATATTTTCCTCAAAACTAGGTAGAAGAGAAGGGGAAAATGAGGATGGAAAAGAGAAAAATAATTTTAAAAAATTTTAAATGCTGCTGTTAATGACAGAAATCTGCCCAATTGAGAATTTATTGAATGAGAAAAACCTGCATATTTTCCTCAAAACTAGGTAGAAGTTTAATGAATGAGAAAAACCTGCATATTTTCCTCAAAACTAGGTAGAAGAGAAGGGGAAAATGAGGAGAAATAACTACAGTAAATGTGATATGTGATTTAGAAAAGAAGTTATCACAGGTGTCTTAAACTGGCAGGGTTTCAAAGGAGGAGGAGACCTGGAAAGGTGTAACTGGACATTGATCCGAGTGCTGGCTAGCTATCCTGCTTTCGCAGTGTCTGACAATCCTTCACTTTACCTCTGCATTTTGTTTCTTACAAAATCAGCTCCCCACTGGAAAGGTGTAACTGGACATTGATCCGAGTGCTGGCTAGCTATCCTGCTTTAGCAGTGTCTGACAATCCTTCACTTTACCTCTGCATTTTGTTTCTTACAAAATCAGCTCCCCAGAAGGGAGTTTTGCCCAAATAATGTTCTTGACAAGAAAAATTTCTGTCAGTCATTTCTCCAAATCAACTCTCAGACACAGGCAGATTAACATTTAAGAGAAATTTTCTGAGAACAAACAGGCTGTAAAAAATTATCTTCCCCCTTTTCAAATCTTAACTTACACATCACTATAATAGTAGACAGCACAATGCAAGTTTTCCAACCATGGACCTGTACAGAAAGAATAAATCACATGCTGTTTTACCAGAGAGAAGAGTGCACTCACAGGATTAATGTCCACAAATGTCTCATGATCTTCTTTATTTGGATGCATGCCATCTATGGCAGAAACAAACCTCTCATCTGCTTGGTAAAAGTGTGGGAAAGACATAATAATGGGTGCACCTGCATTTTAAGGAAAACAGAAATGAATGATGCTGTTCTTAAAATCTAAGTTCCTTCCTAACCACAAACCTAGTTCTAAAAGGCTATATATAAGCAAACTTTGGGGAGGGAGGGTTGGCAGACTAAAATACCATTCTATATCTCCTAGCTCATTTTCTGACATCTCATTTACCTCCACATTATTTTATTCCACATTATACAAGGGTACTTCAAAAAGTTCATGGAAAGATTCACATTATCTTTTAATTCTGTTTTTCCATGAACTCTTTAAAGTACCCTCTTATGTGAAAGTCCTGGCTAAATTATTTGTTCTTCAACAAACAATACTGAACCTATAAAGTATAAGTGCTTTATATACATTATTTTAATTAATGCTCCCAGCAGCCCTATGAAGTTAGACTATTTTTTGTTGTTGTTGCTGTTGAAGTTAGAACTATTATTCTCATTTTGCATTTGAAGAAACTGAGGTGCACAGAAGTTACAAAATCTGCTTAGGGACACCCAGTTACCAGGTTATGGAGGCAGAATTACACTTAATGAAGAATGTCGCATCTTAGAGAATGGTTTCAACTGCAATTCTCCACCAGTAAATGGATTGTCTTTTTTTTTTTCCTGTTTCTTTTTTTTTTTTTTCCTGTCTTTTTTCGTGACTGGTAAAAATTGTTTTACCAAGGATGGACTTTGTCCTCTGGGTATGTTTGTTTTTGGTTTTTTTTTTGGCAGCTGGCCAGTACGAGGATCCAAACCCTCGACCTTGGTGTTATAACACTAAAATTGTTTTTACCAAGGATGGACTTTGTCCTCTGGGTATGTTTGTTTTTGTTTTTTTTTTGGCAGCTGGCCAGTACGAGGATCCAAACCCTCGACCTTGGTGTTATAACACCACGCTCCAACAAACTGAGCCAACCTGCAAACTTTCTCCTGGATACGTGGGTGCAGAATTTAACAGTTTGCCTTATTGTGCTATAAGCCCAGCCTCTGACTAGATCAAGGTAAGCAAAGGTCTGGGGTTTTTTTTTTCTTTCCTATTTATTTTAAGAACCAAATAGGGAAACAAGTTATTAAAGGAAACATGGGTGCAGAATTTAACAGTTTGCCTTATTGTGCTATAAGCCCAGCCTCTGACTAGATCAAGGTAAGCAAAGGTCTGGGTTTTTTTTTTTCTTTCCTATTTATTTTAAGAACCAAATAGGGAAACAAGTTATTAAAGGAAACATATTCTAGATCTGGCCACTAAAAAGAAGAGAGGGGCCCGATAATTGCTGCTAGAGAAATATATTTTTGGAGAAATTAGCTTATTGGCAAGTAACTTGAATTTGCTTACATATCCATCAGCCACAGTTCAAGGTACACATCATCTCTCACATGAACAAGCATTTTGTTCTTTATTGCTAAACAGTTCCACAAAGCCACAATTTCCTTCTTTGGGACCTATGGTAAACTTCAAAATGTATTTTTAAAAATCCATTGAGGGCTTAATAGGGCCAGACACTGTCCTGGGTGTTTGACATATATCATCTCTAACCTGCATACAACCTTCCAAGAAGTTATAATCATCCCCATTTTATGGATGAGAAAACTGATGTCTGGAATCCTCCTTAATCTGCTTGGCCAATTTGCCAACAAACAGAATAGGACTCAAACCCAGATCCGCCTGACTCCAGAACACTCACTCATCTGGCTATCCGAAATGTTCCCCTGGAGAATTCAAAACACTTGAGGATAATCCTAGAGAGTTTAACTTTTCAGTCCAAATTTGGGAACACGTAAGAGGCTAGAGGAAAAGGATTGTAGCAAGAGGTTTGAGTTTTGCAAGGTAGAATCTTTCTGTTGATTCTGCATCTACTTCTTGAGGAAACAGAATGTTAACCAAACAGCAAGAAAAATGTATCAACATTTGTGCTTTGAGCCAGATGCACATGGACTGAGAGGGCTGGGACACTACTTCAGGACCATTCACCCAGCAAGGCAATGGGAGAGCTCAGAACCAGGAATTTGTCCCATTCACTCTTGGCTTTTATCTCCAGCTGAGGGGTACCGTGTTCCCTGGCACAGTGGTCCCCAAATACCTAGACACTAATCTTCACTGGAATCACTTGCAGCAATTATCAAAAGTAGAGATTCTGGGGCCCTTGTGTATCCAGTGTGCTGCCATGTATTTTTAATAACTCTCCAATAATTCTGATGTAAGGCCACATTTGGGGGCTACTATCCTATCAGACAAGGGCAGGGAGGTATCCTGCTGACCTTAGATTTATCTCAAAAGATTTTAAAACCAATTAGATAAGGGAGCAAAAGCTAGCACATTACTTTATTCAGGAGAAAGGGATTACAAACAGGGACATCTCTCAAGAGAAACATTAAAGAGGGATTATATTCTAAGAAGGGAATCACAGTATGAATATGAGAAGACCCTAAGTTCTGGCAGAGATTTGCTCAGAGATATGGGTTTTGTAAAAATCATGTCCCTTCTCTGAGCCCTGTTTTCCACAATTATAAAAAGAGGCCACTGAATGTCTGTCTAGTAAGGTCACCGTGAATAAGTCTGCAACATATGACTGTTAAAACTAGTCTTCAAGATGAAGAAAGTACTTTTGTCAGTTTTACCACTGACAATTCTATCTCCTTCATGGAAAGGAGCAGAGAGGTGCAGACATTAAGAAACACTGGAGGGCTGGTTGGTTAGCTCAGTTGGTTAGTGTGGTGCTAATAACACCAAGGTTCAGGGTTCAATCCCTGTACTGGTCAGTGATAAAAAAAAGAAGAAAAGAAAAGAAAGAAAGAAACACTGGGAAATTTGTGGTCAGGGTTTAAAACTAACTCTGCTTCAAAATCATTGAGAATCTTTGCTAAGATGTGTACTTTCTTAAAATCACTTGTCCACTTTCTTTTTCAGCCTTGCTTTGAACATGAAATCAGTCGATGCCTTTATATGTATTAACTACATGTAAATATGTAAAGCACTCAACAGTGACTGGCACGTAGTAAGTGCTCAGTAAACAGGAGCTATTATTATTATTATTAAGATTTCTAAACTACTGCTCAGAAAAAGACACAAGGCATTGTAGGAATAAACAACATCACAAAAAAGCCAATAATTTTTTTTACCATTCAACAGCCATGTTTATAAAACATTATTCTTGAAAGGTCAAAATTGTTCTTTTCTATTGGGCTGACAACATACGCTTTGTTGAACTCCAATCCTTCTGCATTCTAGACACCCATCATCATGTCCCGTCTCTGAGTCTTACCATTCTTGCAGATGCTAACATTCAAAACTCCTGAGCCCAGGCAGTTTCCTTCAGGGAGGCAGAAGCCGGCATTGTCTGAGGTATTGGCTAATATTTCTGCAGGCACCTTATACCGGAAAGCAGGCAGTCCCTGTACACTCTCAAAGCCACTGAAAGTTATATACACTGACCTGTTAGGATGTAAGAAGAAAAGGTCAGTGTGCACTCTGGTCTGTACAATTTGACCTGCATCTGTAAGTTAGCCACAGTTCTCAGGCATAATATGGCTAAGAGCTTACAGAATAAGTGGAAAATGAAGACGTGAAAGAATGCGTGAAAGAGCTTCATCTGCTCAGTGTGTAATAGAGCAGAAGGTGAATGTAGAAAGGTGTTTCAGAGGTAGCAACTGTGGTAACAGCTGAGCAAGGCCAGAGAAAGACTGAATGTGCAGTGGAAAATTAAGAAGACAACATTTAGGATGGAGACCTAAAATCAGGAAATAAACAACAGTGCTGTAGACCAGCATGGACACGTGCCAGTGCGGAGGGAATGGAGGCAGAAAAGAGGTCAGCAGGGGCGAGGCAGGGGCAAGCAGAAGCGGAAAAGGCAGCAGAGGGCTCGGCCTGGAAGAGCCTTAAGAACGTGAAAGGTGCCACGCTGGACAGATATTCAGTTGGAATACATACTTTGATGTCTATTTCGCCAAATAAAAATAATCACTGTCCATATTTTGCCCCAGTCATTTATTTCAGTGGAGTTCAACATGATTCTGCCATGAGTTTCAGACACGGTTCTGAGTCATTCTACCGCCCCTCCATCTGCTTAGCACCTAACAGGCACAGTGCTGTCATGTACACTGTCGCCATTGAGCCTTCAGCCCTGCATTGGAAGGCTGAGAGAAACAGCTTCCTGGGCCGCACCTTTCCATCTCTGCATCGGCTGAATCGGACGTGTTGGTACACCTCTGGCAGGGTAGTGACTAATGTGGGAGTTGCCTTTCACTGCACATCCCACCCCTACAGCATTTTTTAATGAAGTATTTTAGACAAACAGAAAGAGAAAATGCTATACAAATACCTTTGCACCCACCACTCAGATAAGTAAAAAATATATTATGCATACAACTGAAGCTCTCTGTATAATGCTCTTCATTCCATTCTTTCTCTGCCCTCCTAGGAAACCACTATCCTGACTCTGGGTCTGTCACTCCCATGCAGGTCTTTATACTTTGACATATGTGTGTATTCATAAGCAATATGTGGCATAATTTGCTATTTTTCAATGTTATATAAATAGTATACCATATTCCCGTTCTTTAATTTGCTTCCTCATTCAACATTATATTTTTAAGATTTAATACATTAATGTACATAACCCTGGTTCTTTTATTTTAAATCTTGTATGATATTCTATCATCTGAATACACCACAATTTATTCATATTCTTCTTTTTATAGGCATTTAGATTGCTCCCAGTTTTTCAGTATGACAAATATGTTATAACAAACATTTCTGTAGATGTCTCCTTGCACATACATACAAGGTTCCTGCACACCAGGAACCTACCCAGGAGAGAACTATAGAATCACGGAGTTTGCATGTCTTTGGCTTTACTGCACATTGCTAAATGGCTCTCCGAAGTGGTCATACCAGACAAGAATGTGTTTCTATACAAGGTTCCTGCACACCAGGAACCTACCCAGGAGAGAACTATAGAATCACGGAGTTTGCATGTCTTAGGCTTTACTGCACATTGCTAAATGGCTCTCCGAAGTGGTCATACCAGACAAGAATGTGTTTCCTCCATGCTGAATCTTTTTAAAACTTCCCCATCCCTTCTGGGTTCCCTTGTCTCATTCACTGCACTCAAATACATTTCCTCTCCCTTCACAAATACTTACTGACTAGGACAGTCTTCTAGAAGGTGACTGTGATATTTCATGTGACAGATGGCCTTAAACCATGGCACATATGACCCAGAAATCCCACTGCTGGGTATATATCCAAAGGAATGGAAATCATCATGTCGAAGGGATACCTGTACTCCCATGTTTATTGCAGCTCTATTCACAACAGCCAGGAGTTGGAACCAACCTAAATGCCCATCGATGGATAATTAGATAAGTAATATGTGCTATATATACTCTGCCATAAAAATGAATGAAATTTTGCCATTCATAGCAACATGGATAAACTTAGAGAAAATTAAGTGAAATAAGCCAGGCACAGAACGAGAAACACCACGTCCTCACTCATAAGTGGGGGAGGGAGGGAAGGAGGGAGGGAGGGAG